ACAGTATTTTTAGATTTTCTGGTACTTCTGCTGCCAGATGTTCAGAATTTAAATACATTTTTTACAGTGCATTTAAACAAACTCTCCGTTCGCTGTGCTCGGTACCAATAAAACTGCTTTGACCTTTATTCTGTCGGGTGTGCTGCATCATAAACCTGCACAAGGGAGCTGCGTAAGAAGAAACCTAATTTGGCACCGGGTCGAGTCGGTTACACTCAGAATGCTAACAGAACGTCGCGTCAACGCTCCCACCAGAACGCTACGTGTGCTACAAGCTGCCTGAATAAATAACTTCTCATATACATATAAAGGAGACGACCTCCGAGGCGCCTCCGAGTAAAAGTGCGTTGATTATACGTCCGTCTTGTGCGTTAAGACTTTTCACAGCCGGCCGGTCGACTCTCTGATAAAAGTGCTGCATCGTCTGTAAACGTCCACAGAAACACGTCGCCGATCGGCTCGTTCGTTTGTTCATTCATGGAGCTGCTCCTGCTGCTGCGCAGCGCCCTGATGCTCCACCAGGGGGAGCTGCTCCCTCCAGTAGGTGAAGTGGCTGAAGGTGTCCGAGCAGGGAAAATCCGAAGAAGACGATCGCATCTTCAGAGGGAACACGTGGTCGACCACCTCGCCCAGACGGACGTACCTGCAGGAGGAGGAAGAAGGTTCAACCACAGGTAGGAGAAAGAAAATAAATTAAATAAAATTAAAAAAAGGTTTAAAACGGTGGAAATGTTCAAAAACTCTGAAAACGGTGAAAATAACCACAGTGAGACATTTCTATCTGATTTAAAAACAACAAAACTAATTAAAAATAAGTTTTTTGATGTCGACATTATTTACACAGTTGTGATTTTCTTCTTCTGTGATTTTCCAGGTAATTATCTGTAATTTTACCAAACAGGCAAATTCTGAAAATTAACACTTAAAAAACGATTTACTGTGTTTTTCAAATATTGGCAAAACAAACACGAAACTTTTCGGTGCTGGAAAAAAGTAAAAAAAACGCAAAAATCTGGCAGCAAAGGAGCCAAAAAAACATTAGAAAACTGTGGATGTTATTTACAGTTTTTTTTTTGTTTTTTTTTTAACACTCAGCTTGTAAATTAATATTTTTTTCTGTAATTTTGCTGAACATTATCTGAAATTTAACTAAATATTTCTTCTTTTCTTTTAAATAACATCAATTTTCTGTAAAATAAT